ATACTATCTACCAAGAGAAACACAAGAAATCACTACTGTTATTATTAAAGATGCATATGTCTTCTCTATCCAGATTATCATGGATTTTTTTTTTTAATGTATAAGGATATTTATTTGCAGCATTATCTGTAGGGTAAAACCAGAAACAAGATAAATAGTAATAGGGAAATTAGTAAATAAATTATGGTCTCTCTATATTATGAATATTTAGCAACCATTAAAAAGAATAAATTGCAGCACATTTCTAAACAGTTCTCTGTGCCTTTCTGCAAATGTTTTCATCTTGTGGCATTTTTCAGTGTAGAAATTATAAAGTATAAGTCTATTTCATGATGCACCTCTCCTTAAATTTTAGGTGACTTTGCCAACATTTCCCCTTCTTGATTATACACTAAAGCCCAGACTAAATTTGAGACACATGATTAAATGATACCAAAGATCTAGACACGGAATTTTACGAGAGGAAAAACCAAGTACTTTTCACATGATAGGAGCTCAAAAATATTGTTCAAATGGTTAAAGCTGCTCCTAAATACAAATGCCAAATCCTTGTTGTCATTTATTTTATCATTCATTCAACATTAATTGAAAGCCTACTGTGTGTCAAGCCCTGTGTTTGATGCTAAAGAGCAAAGTGGCACTCAGATTTTATTTTGCCAGATTCCATGTAAAATGTCATGACATGAAAAGGGAAAAAGAGAAGCCCCACATTTGTATGGCAGATCCTTGGCATTAAGCCCTGGGATTACTCAGAGAGGCTGTACAGGGCAGAAATGTAGTTCAGTGCTGGAGGGACAAAATAGCTACTAATGAATCACCTTAGTTATCTTTAAAACACTTTTAGAAACACCATTCCAATTCAGCAGCACACAGTTCTTTTTTTTTACAGTGGCATTTAAATTCATTTCCATTCTGCCTCTTTCCTCTACCAGGTCAGATCCAAATATTCATGCCCTGCCCAGAAAACAAGATGTACGTTAAGGCCAAATTTTCAATATTTCTCCTCTTTTTAATATTATCTGAAAATGGAAGTAATTAAGCACCATCTGATGGCAGAAATATCAAAATAATTTCTTTCACATTTTAAAGCTCTAACTCCAAATGATAGTTCACTTAATCTGTTTATTAATATACATTATCAAGTACCAAAGACAGTGTATTCTGAGAAAAATACTATCATCTACTCAGATCTGAAAACATATAACTTTCATGCAACTACTTTCTTCTTGTCTACATAAGATACTTGCTAATTAATCCATCTAGGAGCTCCTCCAAGAAAGGAAACTCTGGAGTAATTTTCATAAGACATCAAAAAATTGGTATTATTTTGGTGCCATTGGTCTCATGTGCATGGACAAACAGGAACCTGATTGGTTCCTGAAAAAATCCATTGAAAGATAGACAAATCCATTGAAAGATACAGTTTGCCCACTCTCATATATGCCAGAACAAGTCTCCAGGGTGTATTACAGTCATGACTATGGCTTTTGAAGATGTTGCTATCCTTTAGCATTTAATCAGGAAAGAAGATACCAAAATAGATCCTGCACTTAACTTTGATAGCACTTTCAATCTATAACCACAGCTGGGTTTCTAACACTTAAAAAAACATATATAATGGAAAATAGACGATTTTAAAATAACTTTAAAAATTATGTCATCCAAAAGGTAAATAACAAGTGTAGGCAAGGATGTAGGGAAATGTGAACCTTCCAACAGTGTTGGTGGGAATGTAAAGTGGTACAACCACTGTGGAAAGCAGTACGGAAGTTCCTCAAAAAACTAAAAGCAGAAATACCATATGATTGAGTAATTCCACTTCTGGGAATTTACCCAAGAAAACAAAACCCCTATGTTTATTGCCACACTATTTACAATAGCCGAGATATGGAAGCAACCTAAGTGTCCATCAATAGATGAATGGATAAAGAAGATGTGGTTGACATATACAGTGGGATATTATTCAGCTATAAAAAAGAAGGAAATCCTGCCATTTGTGACAACATGGATGGACCTGTAGGATATTATGCTAAGTGAAATAAGCCAGGTGGAGAAAGACAAATACCATACAATTTCACTTATTTGTGGAATATAAAAACAAAACAAAACAAAATGAACAAAATAGCACTAGACTCACAGGCACTGAGAAGTGACTGTTAGTTACCATGGGGGGAGGTGTTTGGGTAGGGGGGGGAGGTGAGAGGGATAAAAGGACACAAAAATTCTCAATCATAATATAAGTTGGTCACAGGGATGGTAGTACAGCATGGAGAATACAGCCAACAATTCTGTAACATCTTTCTATGTTGACAGATAGTAACTGCACTAGTGGAAGGTAAGAATTTAATAATATGGGTAACTGTTACACCATTGTATTGCCATACCACAATAATACCATGGATAAAAGGCAACTTTAAAAATTCAAGGTGTTTTCACATATTGACATAGGATAAATATGAAAAATTAAATGGCCCTCTTGTTCCAGGTACCTTAGCATTAACCTAACCTCTCAATGACATTCACATTTGAAAAATTCAAGGGTAGAGTTATGTGAACAGTCCAGTCAATATACACAGGGAAAGGTTACTTCAGATCTGATTAGATCATTAGTAACCTTGATTTCTTTCAGAAGGGTAGACTCTAATAAGTTTGGAGACCTTGTATGAGGGCTAAACATTCCAATTAAAATTCATTAATTCAGAATGTTCTTGAGTGAAAGTGTCAAATAGCTGGTCTCATCAATTTCAGTTATTAAGTTTGTTCAAAAAAATAAAAATGCCATAAATACCATTTATATAGGCTAGCATCTCACATGAACTCCAATTTAGATTATAATGATTCCCTACAACTACAGCAACATATTCTAAAAGTATACACTTGCTCATTTAAAAAAATGGGTAACTTAAATTTAACACTTACTAATTGGAAATCAACCTAAGAATAAACACTGAGAGTCCAAAACAAGTATATTCTTTTGAATTACCAAAATATTATTCTAGAATTAGGCAGACTCACTTGCTCTATAAACCCATTAACACTGCAAAAGAAAAAAAAATTAAATACGGAATAAAGGAAAACCACAGTTCTAATGCAGCACTGCCACACGAATGCAAATTCAAAATCCACAGTGTTTCCTTGGATCCCAAAACACACCGTTGGTCTTTCTATTGTCTGAGGACATTGAGCCACACATTCTCTACAGATTATGAAACAGATATTTATTTATGCTTTAACAAACAGAACACAAAGAACCATCATAAATGGTTCACCATAAATAAACATCCATAGTCCAGATTCACAACCCAACTCATCCTCCACTGATTTGAGAACTAAGAGAAATTGGCCCTCTACTTATTAGCAGCTGTATTGAAGAAACTCAATGGATCACTTTATTTCGGTTAGTTTCTGTTTCAGAGTGAGTGATTTTAATGTTACATTCACTTTCAATATTGAATATGTGTTTCCTTAAAGATGAACCCGTTTGAGCCCAGGTCAGCAGATTATATGGATGCCAGAACTGCAAAGGCAGCAATCTGTGTCCACTCTGAGAAGTTCTCCTTCCAGTTTTCCTACTAGAGTCTTCCTGAAGGAGCCTAATCTGGTGGAATAAGGCCTGGTTATAACCCTAGCATGACTCCTGACAGCGCCTTTAAGAAAAGGTGGGCTCTTTCAAAATTAGACAAGCCATACATTCTCAAACAAGCAGATTTAAAACTCAGAAACAAGGCAGCAATGAAAACCACCAATAAAGTCTGTCAAGACCGAAGAGTCTTATTTTGAAGGTTTCCGTTTGATTCCCTGAGGATTTCTAGAGTGACAACTAAAGGAAAGACGTAAGGGCCAGGAGAGTTGTATGCTTCAAGGGCAATTATACATAATAGGAAACTAGGTAAATTACTGTGTTCACAGCTACTCAAATGTGCCTTATTTTAAAAAGGCAGTATTTTTTTTTAATAGATAACGCATGCACACGGTTTAAGGGCAAAAACAGAATTCCCAACAGGTTGGTGAAAATAAGTCTTCCTCCTGCCCATCCCGCAGGTCCCTCACCAAGGTCAACTACTGTTTCTTAGTCCCCCTCTTGACATAGTATGCACACACGAACATACGCGAGTGTTTTAAACCAATTACCCTATATTATACACATAGTGGCAGCTGCAAAATTGCTACTGAACGCTTCTGGGCTTCAAGGTGGCAATCCGCTGGGGGCTGGGAAGAAGGAGACTTGAAGCTGCAGTTTTGCATATCATGTACCAGTTTTTACTTTCTGTGTGTTTTACTTAACATGTCTATGTAAATTAAAGCTCCCGAAGATTAGGGGAGAAGGTAAACCCACGGCAAGCCACCACCTCCTGGCCCTGCACGACACCTCACTGGTCTGCGCTTAGACTAGGTCCAATCTTTAAAGCATATTTTGTATTCTCACTGGATTAAATGAAGTATCTCGACTCATCTTTAAGGAAAAAAAAAAACTTTTTCCCGAAGGTTAACTCTCAAAACCAGGTGATTTTCTCCGCGCCAAACACGTAGCCTATCTGGTCGTGTCCTGAGGAAGGGTCCAGCCTGGCAGTGAGCTGGAGGGACAAGCCAAGACCAGAGAAGCCCAAAGACGGGTACCCCGAAGAGATGCGGGAGCCCCGAGCGCTGGGCCGCGCTTTTCTTCTAGGCAAATGTTGCGAAGCACAAGCCCCCAAGTCCTTGCCCTTGCGCCCTCCTGCTTTTCTCGGGATGCTCTAGAGCTGGGGCAGATTCGAGCTCACGCCTCTGCCCGGGGCCTCAACTTCAGTCCCTAGCCCTGGACGCCCCGGACCCCTCGCCCTGCGGCGTCGGGGCCCCCTCCGCTGGCCTTCCCGGCGCCGCCCGCCACCCCAAGAAGGCAGGGCTCCAGGCAGCACCCCTGCGCGCCCCGGCTCCCGGGCCCCCGCCTCCAGCCTGGGGCCCCCGTGCGCCCCGCAGCGAAGGAAGCTACAGGTAGGGGGGCGGAGCGGCGCGAAGCTCACCTGAGCCGGAGGGGTGCTCCCGGCGCCCGCTGGAGAGGAGGAGGTGGAGGAGGCCATGTTGTGGTTCTGAAACTGCTGCTCCTTCCAGGAACTCCGCTCTCCCCTCCCCGCCCCGCTCCTCCTGCCCCCAAATGTGGGACTTCTTAGCAGAAAGTTGGGCTGCGGCGCGGCAACGCCAAGCGCGGCCCTGCGGCGTCAGCCCCGCGCGGCGTCTCGCGCCCCGACCGTGTCCTCGGCGCCCGCCAGGTGCCCGCCCGGGCCGGTGTGCGGGGGGCGGGCTCCCGCTCAGGTAGAGGCGCGGCGGCGGGCCGGGCCCGCTGCCTTTGGGCCGCCCCGCCCGGCGAGCATGCCCAGTCGGCCGGCGCGCGGGGTCCGAGCCGCCGCGGGCGCAGGAGCAGGCGCTGAGGGGTGGGGGCCTTACCTGGGGAGGTGGCGAGCGGAGGCAGCTCTAGGAGGTCAGGGAGAGCAAGTGCTGTTCCCTGAGGGCTGCTGAATCGAGTTGCATTAGCCATCTCCATTATAATAACAAACTTTTAAAAAGGGCAATATTCTCTTATTTTATTAATTGATGCTTATTGAAGTTTAAGTGAATAAAATCATTAGGCAATTTCGCGTTTGCTTTGTTGTTATTAATCCATAGTATCTAATTCACGTAAAAGCAGTGTTTGCAGGCCGACAGCTTCAAAACAACATCCACAGCCTCCCACCCCACCCAGGTCCCAGCAGCACCCAGACTGGCTCTTCTACCCTGTCTAATTAAAAAATAAAATCTGTAGCCATCCTGGGTGTGAGGCAGGCATTGAGCCTCACCCAGCAAGAATCTCTGAGTGTCCTTATTCCTAGGAGCTCAAATGGCAAGGCTTTGCAGAACTCCAATCCTGCCCAAGGCTGGCAGACAGCTGGATTCAGGATGCTACCCTCACAGAATTTACAATTAAGGTGGGGATACAGAGGGAGGCAACTGCCCAGCACATGATGCCTCCCAACAGGAGAGCCTCTCTCACTTAATCAGTGCACCAGGCAGGCTAGGGCATTAAAAATGACAGCAAACACGTTGGTAAGAAAGTTACTCACTTTTCAGTTCTTTCAATTCTGCTGATTACAGTATGAAGAAAGTGTTCTCTCTTTAAACACTTGCTAACCTCCCTATGTATCAAAGAGCAGCCCCCCAGGCTCATGCCCTAGGAAAGCACTGGGATATCTAACTGGGATTTATAGCGTTGTTAAGTTTCCATTGTTTAGTTTCATTGTTCATTGTTACTGTTACTTTCTATTTATGGCAAGTGAAAAAGGTTTTCTATTTACCATTGGGATCCAAAGTTTCATTTTCAAGTAAGTGTATGTAAGTTTTTAAAATTTAAATAAGTAGAGACAGTAATAGTTCAGATGGGACTGAAATAAAGCAAAAATTCTAGAGGTAGGGAATGACTGAAATGTGGGAAACTGACAATTTTTTCATCAGCTAGTGATAGCTAAATGCCAGAATAACTCTGTAACCAGAGAGCAGTGACTTGGCTCTGCCTCCAGTTTAACACCTACTTCACTTCCTCCATAACACATAAAGCTGAAATAATATTTATTGGTATCAGCTCTGTGTTAGGACTCTGTACTAAGCACCTTATTCATATTATCTCATTAGTCCTAACAAAGTCCTTGCACAATCTGGAAATTAAGCCTCAGAAACTTCATTTTAGCCAAGGTCACAAACTAATAGGGCACCAATGACTCTATAGTTTGGACATTCTTGAGTTTTAAAAGCCACTTAAGAATTTAGCAAGTACACAAACGTCCTGAAATTCTACGTTAAATTCTGTGTGCTGTTTCATAGGAGAAGGTACATAGTTGTCATCAACTTTTCAAAGAGATCTATATGTCCCTCAAAAGTTTAAGACCCACTATTACCATTACTTACAAGACATTTCAATGCCGTGGATTATAAGGTCCATGGAGGCAAATGACCTGTCCTATTAGATCTTTACATGTCTAGCCTTTATCTGCTCAGCTGCTCACAGACCTTGGCTGGGCTAAATCAAAAGCAGACAATACAGGCCACAAGAATAGGGTGTGGGGTGGAGGTTGGGAAAAGCATCACCTTGGTAAATCGTACACAAACAGGTACTATACACACCAGCTGCCTGGCACCCATAAAGCCATAAAAACCATGTCACACAAGTGACAAGCAGCCAAGCAGGTAGACAATAGAAGGAGGAAGGGGCAAAAACTCCCCTGGTAGTGAGCACAAGAAGCAGTCCCCGGGGGATGAGCCCAGGAAGACATGCTTTCTCGTGGAATTCTCCCAGGTTTTCAAGATGGCCACCTGATTCTGAGAAACACTTGTGTGCAGGTTAAACAGACTTTCTCCAGAGGCAGGCTGCAACACAACCAAAAAAGCTGACTACACAAAACTGGGAATCAGGCAGCATCTCCCCTACTTTAATAACTAAAATTAAACCAAAACCTTTCCATACAGCCCTTGACTGCATGGAAATTTGTCCTTCTTCTCTCTATCCCTCCCTGCACAGCCAAGTGTCTTAAGAAGACAGTAGTCAGCACAGTGTCCCCACTTCCTCACTTGCACACTCTTTTGATCATTGTTTCAGGGCCTCAGCCCCTTCTCAGCTACTGAAACTCCTCCTCCCAAATCACCATTGACCTCCTATTTTCCCTGTCCAGTCCTTATCTCGGTTGATCTTTAAAGGGCACTTAACACGGTTGTTGGTTACCTTCCCTTCTCAAATATTTTCTAGGATTTTGACCTCAGTCTTCCTCACTTCTCATACCGTATTCAGTCTCTCTGTAATCTCATCCACACTGAGTCTTCAGCTACCACATGCTGACTCCCAAATCCAGCTAAGACAATTTCCCTGAGCCCCAGGCCCAAATTTCATCATGTCCAAAGTGGAATGCCATGCAACACAGAACTTGAAGCCAGGACAGGAAGCTTGGAGATCCTGGCTCCTATCAGATCCTAATTCCTAAATAATTCTTTATCCCCACTATGTTCCTGCCTTTGCCCTTCTACTTGCTAAGATTTACTGAGCAATTGCTACGTGCCAAATCTGCCAACTTGCAGTTTCTCATCAACACTCACCTAGACAACTACAATCTCCTCAATTTTGCTCAGAGGATCAGCTCTGTCATCCAATATTATGATTTCCCTGTAAGTTCACATCTGCTCTCATGCATACACACTGTTCAAACATTTAAATAGTTCTCTTTATCCTTCAAGACAAAGGTTAGATCTAGCAATAGAACTCTGACCATTGCTTCAACCTGATCTTGGCTCTTCTCTCTCTATGTCTTCCTCAGATGCACCACACACATATAGCCATTCTGAATTACTTGCAGCCCCTCCAAATGCCAAGCCTGTTTTCTTCTGCAGACTGTCCCTACTGCCTGGAATACTCTTCTTCCCATCCTCCAGTTCTCTGCCTTCTCCATCATCCCTGTGAATTTAACTCCTATTCATTCAGCAAGACTCTATTTAGAAAATACATCTTTAAGGAATCCTTCCCTGACCACTTTTATATTAAAATATGGTTCATTGCCCTTTCTTTTTTTCCAAAACACCCTGCAGCATGCTTTTAATTATTTTGAAAAATAAGCCCACACTTTTCTGCAATTCAGAAATCTTAAAAGTTAGGAAAATCAACAACCTACACTCAGCTGATGTGAGGTTTTTTATAGTCTTTATTCCATGTAATGTGAATAGGATATGTTTTAACTATGGGGCACTGCCCCAAACCCTTGTATGGGCTATATAATATACAGTTTGTGCACCATATTAACATTCTAGAAATTCAGAATTGTGAAACACTTCTCCTTCAAAGGGTTTTAGAAAAGGGGTATAGACCTATATAACCATTGCTTTCCTTGTCTGAGTCCCCTTGTAATCTAAATCTTGAAGCTTCAGCTGTATCTTTTTCATCTACAAATCCCCAGTATCTAATGCAATGTCTTGCTCAATGGAAGTTTGTTGAATAAATTAAGGATATATTTATGAACTGGGACTGTATTTCACAGGACTGATTCCCAAGGTTGAAACCTGATACCTCCCCTTGCTTCCTGCATGGCTATCCCTCTTCTGGGCTACACTGTACTTTGCACGCACATCAAATTTCTCTCTGTATAATAATTCTTTGTATATCTATGTCTCCACTGAGACTGAGCAAGTTGAAAGTGGAGACGATAATATGTTAATCTTTATATTTCTGGGTTAACAGTGCCCAGCGTGTTGTCAGACACATTACATACTGGCTCAATACATTTTGTAGAATGACGGAGGGCAGAAAAGAACAGAGGGGAGAGCGGGAAGAATGGTAGATAAAAAAGCAGGATGGAAGAAATCTGGGTAAAGATGATTTCATCTCTTTTGAGAAGACTCTAATGTGTGGGTTCCAAATTCATCACTTCATGATATTTGTCATATTGTACATCACCTTTATTACTTAATATTTTTATTTAAATTAACTCATCTAAACATATTTATTTTAAAAGAAATATTATCTTATGATGTTAATGGAAAACCACTTTCACTTGCACTAAACAGATATGATGAAAACAAAATATTGTTAATTTTTTGTCTTATTCTGTATTCTGCCTGAGGCCTTCTCTATTAAAAAGGAAACTTAGCAAGTGTTAAGGGGGCATGAGCAGCGGCACTAGATGCAAACTGTCTCCTAGTTGTTAACAGAAGGAGTGAAAAAGAACTGAGAGGTAGTATCTTATTATATGGCTCAGTATTATTTAATGTGCTGTCCGTAAACCACCTAATGTTATCTCCAGAACCGCAGTAGAAAGATTATGTGAACTTTCCTCTCTTTCCCTCACTGCTTCTACACTCACAGTATTTCTCCACAACTCCAATTAGACACTCTATTCCTTCCAGAGTACTTTTTACTATAATTAGACTCTAACTCATGACTATGTTTAAACAGTAGGAATTTCCCACCTGGCCATTAGCAAGAGAAAAAAAACCTGATTTCTTACATGATGTCTATGGAATCTGCAGTAAAAAAAAGGAAACAAGCATTAATACAGAAATTTTTTACCTGTGAGAAAAAATTGTTTAAGTTCAGATTGTGGTTAGTGAATGTGTGTTTATTTCATAAAATAAGCAAGTAATAGAAAAAAACATTTCTCAAATAAAAGAAACATATCTTTGGTCACTACTACCAATGGGGATTATGGTTGAATGTAGAAATATGTCCCTAAATTTGTAAATTTTATGAGGGAAAACAGCTCACCAAGCACAAAGT